TTATCAGAATTATGATGCCCTTGTGCACAAGTGCGCTCGGGTATAAAAATCAACGGTTATTTGCATAATTGGCAGGGTTGCAAAATCAGTACTTTTAGTTGCAGTTGTATTTCTTATGCAACTTTTTTAACTCATTATAAAATTAGTAAAGCAAAAAAGAAGAAAATTAAACACACCTAATTCCTCACAAAAAAAAACAATTCATCCCCCGATTCCCCACGTAAACTGAAATTCCCCACAAAAAACGGTCCATTCGCCGATTCCCCACGCAAACTGAAATTCCCCTCAAATTAGGGAATTCCCCACGAGTTGGCTGCCCTGTTCCAGATACAAGTTTATCTATTATATTGTCAGTGGTGTGGTCAATTGTCCTGATCTTCTTGAGCAGATAAACTTTAATATTCCTCACAGAGCACTTCATTATCATGTTCTGTTTTTCTGTTAGCGTTGCTAAATAAACTTATTTTAGCTATTAATTAGATAAAAAGCATCTCTAGAAGCATAGATCTAGACTTCGCCCCTGCCAGGTCTTTTTTTTCTCACTACAAGTGTCTTATTAAGTACCAATAGCTTTTGTTTTTATACCCGAGCGCACTTGTGCACAAGGGCATCATAATTCTGATAACATAACGGTTGTTTGTAACAGCCAAAACGAATCGAGATAGATATAGGCAAATGTATACATAAATGATCAGAATGAAAAGAGAAGTCGATTAAGCCATGTCTGTCTGTCCGTCCGTGTACACGATAACTCGAGCAAGGTTGGTATTGAAAATGGGCGAAATCGGACCATAACCACGCCCACTTCCCATATAACGGTAATTTTCAGAAATACGAAAACTGCGATATTTTAGTAACTACTGAAGATTTTTCACTCAAAATTGATATTTACATTTTAGACGAAAAATAAGAATATTATAAATTTTTGGAAAATGGGCGTAGCCACGCCCACTTATAGTTACATGTGTATATCTTGATAACCGGTTGCACCAATTGCTCCCAAATTTTGCATAATTCTTAGCCTTGGTACAGGATACCAAATGGCCGAACATTTTTAAAATCGGACAATAGCCACGCCTACTTCCCATATAACGGTAATTTAGGGAAATACAAAATCTTCGATAAATCACTAAATATTAAAGCTAATTTATTAAAAATTGATGCTTGCAACAATTCTTTACCAAGAAATACGTTTATGGGCGTGCCACCGCCCACTTATGAACAGGTATGTATATCTCGGTAACTGTTCGATCAATTTGTACCAAAATTGGTACGCTTATTTCGCTTACCACATAAAAGCAAAACGTTAAAAATTATTGAAATCGGACTAAAATTACGCCCACTTTTTATATAACGGTAAATTTCAGAAATGCTTGAAGCTTCGATATTTCGAAGTTTAAGGACGCTTTTTTACACAAAATGTATACTAACAACAAAAAAAAAGAAAGAAAGAAAAGAAGTAACCTTATTATGGAATTTTGGAAAATGGGCGTGATACTGCCCACATATTTACTACTTGCGCCAGGTATCTAATATTTCTTGGAAGTCTTTATTTTGTACGTAGAACAAAAGAAAGGGTTGCGCTTTGATGTTCATACTTTTGAGGACCACCCTAGTATGTGTTATACAAAGGCACTTATTATCATCGAAATTAGGTTTGATAAAATTTGAATGTAATTAATCAATTTAATGCTTTGCTCAATTTGGGGCAGTTGTAAAAATGCGGTCCACTATTGAATTTTATTTAATTAATTAAAATTGCATGTTTAAATTAATAAAGAGTTTTATACGAATATATATGTACATACATGTCAAAAAATGCATCTGTATGTACTTGCGTATGCGTGTTTTTATACATAGATACATCCTTGGCGGTGGTTAGAGTACGTTAAACCAATCGAAAATAGATAAAACAAAATATGCGTGTGTCTGCATTGTACTCTTTTCCGTAATTAACGGTGAAAATGTATATCTTATATTTAAAAAAAAAATAATATAACTCGAAAATCAATTTTACTGAAAATTATTTAAGCTCATACAAATACATACACATACATATCTATGTAAGTTGACACACACACACCCACACAAACGGCTGCCTAGTCGCATAAATAAACCCAGGTCAGTTAGCTTTTCGTCAAATGGATATTCAACTGATTTTTAAATTTATTTTTTTTTTGTTCAGCATTAAAAGCAAAGTACCAAAACCGGTTGCTCATAAATTCGTATCAATTTTAATGTTTGTCTTTTACGTAAGGTTTCTATTTTTTCCTAAGTACGTTACTTTTTTATATCTCTATGTTGGCGCTGAGCACAACTGTTTTGGTATAAAAACGCTATGCACAACTGACACCAGCATCAGTTTCAATTTACTTGCAATCAAAGCAACCGATTTCCACCCAAAAAAAAAAAACACTAAAAATGTTCAAATACGTAAGTTGGATGCATTCATTTAGTACTCCAGTAATTTTCTAATAATAATTTTCTTATACCTTTCGTAGTTTGCATTCTTCACCCTACTCGCTGTCGCCGCCGCTAAACCTGGTCTGCTCGCCGAAACACACACCGTTGTTCAACCTGCAGTAGTTGCCAAAACCGCTTATATCGACAATAGCGCCTCGTCAGCCATTACTCACCAAAGCCACGTGAACTTGGTTAGGAAGGTGCCAGTTGTACCAGTTGTCCATGCCGCTCCCGTCGTCCACGCCGCTCCTGTCGTCCATGCCGCTCCTGTCGTGCATGCTGCTCCGGTTGTAAAAACCATTGCCACGCCCGTGGTGCATGCCGCTCCTGTCGTCCACGCCGCTCCTGTCGTCCACGCCGCTCCGGTCCTCCACGCCGCTCCGGTCGTGCATGCCGTTCATGCCGCTCCAGTCGTGCATTCCACCCATGTTTTGCCCGTTGTGCACTCAGCTCCTTTAGTAAAGACTGTTGTCTCTGCTCCTGTTGCCTACAGCTTCCACCACTAATTAGTTGAAGAACCTTAAAAAAATAGTCAAAAATGTTAATAAAAAAAATTTTTAATTAAAATATGTACATATGTATTTCACTAAAAAATAATTATTTGTATGGGTTTTCCGGCCGCTTTTTGATCAAGGACCTTACTAACAATTAATAATTTATATTTCTAGTGAGGGCCTCGAAAATTTGAATAATTAAATTATTAGTTAGTGGCATATATCTACCCACCAAACATTTAGGATTGAGAATGACTTGGTGTTAAGTAAATAACTAATGCATGTCTAAAACCTCCAGCGCCGTGTCTCCACCTCCACTTGAGGAGCATAGCGTTCTCATGAAAGCAACTTGTATTTCTAAGCTTCAGAAAAAGTTAGTCCTCAACTTGCTCTTCAATATTTTCAACTTGAGATTTATAACTTTTTCTAAAGTTTGAGTTTCAGTGGAGAAAAATGTAAATGACACTTTAAGGCATCGGTTCCTAACCGCTGGGTCGCGTATCGATCCTAAAACTATCAGAAACCATTGAATAAACCATCAGAAAAATATAAGATTAAAAACGCCTTAATTCAATCCTGAAACAGTTCAATTGATACAGTCCCAAAAATTTCATAAATATTGTATTCTTACTTAAAAACTGTAATTTTACATATTGATAGATTGTGATAACAATTTTGACAAATGTAACACCGTGTGACAGTAAAATTTACACACACACAAAAATTAATATATTCGCAAAACTGGGGGGCAAAAACTAGCGAAACTACGTTTTTAGTTTTTGTCAGGACTTTTCTTAAAAAGGACTTTGAAATTTTTAAGACAAGATAATTTCAAAAAATTGTTTAAATAACTCAGTGCAATGGAAATTAACAGTGTGGGTATCATATGAAAGAGAAAATTCTGTAGAATTAAAAAAAATTTAAATTTTTTGGTGAATAAAGACGAATAGGAGGATCAGTATCTTTGAATGTTAAGTATTAATATACACAGGGTTCCAATTTCACCCTTCCAACTTTATTAGCTTAGAAAAATTAAATTAATTAAAAGGCCATTTTCAATAACTATTCGTCCATCTCAACAAAATTTTTATTTTAATTTTACAGAATTTTCTCTTTAATTTGGTACCCATATATTATTACTTCACATTGCACTGAAGGAAGCTTTCTCTGCCTGATGGTTTGAAATTCATTTTTAAGGGCCAGTCTTTTGTATATGAAAATATTTGAAGGAATGCGATACAAATTTAGGTTTTTTACTCCACTATGGACTGCGTGAAAAGTGGAGGTATTACGATAGGGAAAGGTGGGTTGTCAGTTGTAAAGTTTGGAACCATTACATCAAGGTATACAGACATATTTATATGGCATAAGGAGGCGCCATAGGACTGATAACAGCCACAAGGGTATGCCCTCAAGGGGGTGTATGTACTCTCTCCCCTTTTGTAGTAATAGGCGAATTCCTTTTACAATGAACAGCCAATTATTTGAAAAGTAAGGTCACACAGATGCTCTGCTAATCTGCATAAAAGGTTTGCATGACGAAATTATCACCCACCGCATGCGAAGATGAAGGACTTACTATTAATCCTACAAAAACTATTATTGTACTCTTGACAAAACATTTAAGTAGAAAGCACATTTGGGCGCTGTTATCAACAAAGCGATGAAGGCTTTATTTTCCTGTATTCCCAAAATGACTTATTGGTTATTGAGTACTGTCGTAAAGCGGACTTATGTAGGTTACAAAGAGATCTGCAAGCACTAAACTAGTTTGCATCGGCATAACAGGAGCTTTGAAGACCTGCTCTTCAGTATGTTCCGAATGGGGATGTGTCTATGTATATCAGGTTCGAGGTTCGAATCCTCGGGCAACGCATTTTTCTTTTGTTTTTTGTTAAAAAAAAACGAAAATATGTACTTTTTTTAATTCATAGAAACCCATTAAATGTATTTTCTTATAATTTTTAGATCTTAGTTTTTTAAACAGAAAAAAAAATATTTTTTAATATCTATCATTTAATTTTTAGAAAATTATTTTTTTTTTTAATTAGACTTTATTTTGAATTATTATTTTTTTTTTCTTTTTTATTTAATTCTTAAAATTTATAATTTTTTGATTTCATTTAATTTTTACAAACTTATTTAATGTATTTCTTTTTAATTTTAACATCTGTTCATTTATTATTTTTTTATTTAAAGATTTGCTTCCATTAAAAAATTTTATATATATTATTTTTTTTCTTATTTTTAAAAATTTAATTTTTTTTCCTATTATTAATTACCTTAATTTTTTAATTTTCTTTAAATTTTTCGATTAAATTGTTTAAAAAACAAAACTAGTATTTTTAACTTCACTTAATTTTTAGAAATTTAATAAATTTTTAAGTGTATTTTGTTTTATTTTTTCCGTTTTCTTTTAATTTTTAGTTTTTAATGTTTGAAAAATATACATTTTTTTATTTAATAATAATAATAGATTGGCGCTTACACATATGTTAGTGTTTGACCGAGCTTCTCCTCCGACTTGTGGTGTGCACCTTGATGTTTTCACACAAAGCGGAGGGACCTACAGTTTTACGCCGACTCCGAACGGCGATTGTATTTTTATGAGAAGCTGTTTTTCATGGCAGAAATACACTCGGAGGTTTGCCATTGCCTGCCGAGGGACGACCGCTGTTAAGAAAAAACCTTTTTCTATATTTTTGCGATGTTGCTTTGACCAGGGCTTGAACCCAGGTGCTGATGAGTGAAAGCGCGCACTGCTTACCACTACACCACAGCGGCCGACCATTTTTTTATTTAATTAAATTAATTTTTAGAAAACTTATTGCTAAAAGAGAAACAGGATAAGGATAAGACCTATTCGTTTCCAGATCTTTCAATTAGCCTTTCGACTAAACTTCACAATTGTCGTACGTAGACTTTTGTCTTGCGAAGGACAGTTGCCAGAAATTTGTTTGGAAGAATATTTTGATATAAACCTTAGAAAATCAAAGGTACAAAATTTCCGCATACTAATTGAGGGAGCTAAATTTGTTTGACAGGCGCAAATTGATTGGCTTAACCTTCGCTTAGTTGCGTGTCCACATTTATTTAGCGTAAACTTTTTGCACAGATCAATGCCTCAATGGCTTACATTGAACTTGAACTTTTCAGCACACAAAACATTGAGTGGCAACAACATTAGCTTACTTGAGTAGACTCTAAAAGTTGCTTAATGTTTTGTTTAGCAATAATAACAAATGACTGGCAGCGCATGCGCGTACGACGCTACACCCTTTTTCAAAAGCCTATTACCGGCAAAAGCCGTCAGCTGTGTAGAGATGTAGAAAAAAAAGCAAGCAAAAAAGAGGAATTAGACATTGATCGATTGCGCACAAAACATGCTCAGACAAACTCTCGACGCCTACGCAAAGGGCGACAACAAATTAAATAACAATGTTTTCATGCCAAATATTTTTGGAACACTTGCACAAGGTTCACTGCCTGCAGTGAGTAAAATTAACCAATACACTTAGCATTTGTTTAAAAATAGAATTAAAATAATAGCTGAAACTAGACTAAAAAGAGCATAAAAATGTTAATCTGGTTCATTAAGTTTGCGCTGCTTTGCACGCCGTTTTCGAGGACCATAGGTACTTGTTGTACGCATTTACTTCAACACTGATTGCAAGTCTTTTTGAGATAGAGAATAAATAATAGAAATACAAACTCATTGCGTTTGCAAATTTTATATGACTTTTTTTGTAATTATACTGCACCACTGATAATATAACGAGGCTATGCAATTCAATTGGCCTACAAAATAACAATAAAATAAATTTTTGTACGATTTCAAATTTTAATTTTTGCGCTATAAATTTCGCACAAACTCGTAGAAAAGTATCAATCAGCCATCGCACTTCGTATTGTGAGCAATCTCAACCTAACAGCCGTAAAATGTTCAAATACGTAAGATCCTTACACTGAGCTTTAAAAAAACAAAAACAACATTTCTTATCCTCTTGCTTGCAGATCACTTTCGCCGCTCTCTTCGTCTTCGCCACCGCCGCTCCTGGCTTCATCGCACAACCGGTTGTAGCCAAAGTAGGTGCCGTTGTGCACAGCGCTCCAACTGCCGTCTCCCACCAGAGCATCACCCAAGTGCACAGCAATGCCCATATTGTAACACCCGTTGTGAAGACCGTGGCTCCGGTGGTTCCAGTAGTCAAAACTATTGCCCCTGTTGTACCAGTGTTGAAGACCTATTCCGCACCGGTGGTGCATGCCGCTCCAGTTGTACCTGTTGTGAAGACATACTCCGCTCCAGTGGTCCACCACGTTCCCGTTGTAAAGTCTGTCGTCGCTCCCGTTGTGCCAGTCGTCCATGCTGCACCTGTTGTAAAATCTGTGGTTGCTGCTCCGGTTGCCCACTTTGTTCATCACTAAACTTACCTTACTGTTATTCCTGATGGTGTTAAAATAAATGTATAAGATATTCATTATTTTTGAAACATATTGGGTTTGATTTTGGAAACTCGTTCTGAGATGATTCGTGTCTTCATCTATTACTTCTTTTTGTATGTATGTATGTATGTATGTATGTAGGTGATGGGCACCACCTTGCCTGCGGGCAGGGCTCTTTTAAGCTCTCTATACATTTTGTAGAGGCGCATGCAGAGTAAAAGAACTCTCTGCCCATTATAGAATAGCAAAATGTATGGAAGCTTACAAAAGCTTTACGTGCAGGCAAGGCGGTGCGATAACAGATGTTAGTTTACTATAATGATTAAAAATAATTTTTTAATAGAGAGTTTTTTCGGAAATTGGTGTTTAAGAGCGTTTTGGAGTTTGTAGGTTTTGCGAAAGTACCGTCGATATGTATGGCCACATATCTTTACAACGCTTAATTTTTTTATAGTTAGCACTCACAAAAAAACATATCCCTCATAATAAGCTTTCTAAAGCTTTCGAAAGGTTTTTGTAGATTTTATATAGGTGCTCACAAGGTAAAAGCTATCTCTGGTCATCCT